GGTGGTGCAAGCACCTATCTGGACTCATTAAAAAGGTGTTTGGCTGCATATCTTGTGGGGATCATTTGATCCCCGCAGACTTCCTGCCTATGGCAGGGGGCTGGACTCAATGATCTCGCGAGGTCCCTTCCAGCCCCTAATGTCTATGAAATCTATGAATCGCTTATTCATATTTTATAATTACTATCAGCATATGTTGAATGGCTAGGCATGATTAAAAAAAGCAATTCCCATTGTAGTGAAAAAACATCAATATTTTTGTTTCAAGTATTTGAGATGGGCCCTTTCTAAAGTTTCTCCTAATTTGTTCCTGATTTCATTCATTCAAATCACAAGTATCCTCAAAATGCTTTCCAAGACAACGTGGAATAAAATTAAAAGCCCTTTTCTTTTCAAAAGTAACCTTCATGAACACTGAAAGGCGCAACTTTTTTCCCCAAAGGATAAATTTTAATCCCGTCGGCAATTTTTCACCCATGCACACATACACACGCCTACTATCCAGGGCCTGCAAATCCAAAAAATGGCTTTTCTTCGAACAGAAGTTTTCCACTTGAAAAATTTCAGCCGTTGCTCTTTTTGTTTATCATTTAGGGTGTGGCTGGTCCTGCCAGACCAGGCTTCCTTGCAGTAGGCAGGGCACATTTTGAGGAGTAAAAGGCCCTCCTGCAAAGACCCTTTGCCCTGGAAGCACGACGCCGGTGCTGCGTCCTGGCTGCATTGGGGGGGGCAGCCGGAGCAGACATCCCTGCAGCTGCCTCGCTCCAACCAGCAGCAGAGACCGCGGCTTGAGCCGGGGCGCAAGGAAGGAAGGAAGGGAGCGAGGGAGGCCGAGGCCCGGGGAGCCCAGGCTGGGGGAGCTCCCGCAGGGATGCCGGCGCCCAACTGGGCTGTGCGGGCGCGGGCGCGCAGGAGGAGATGCCCCACTGCCGTGAGCAGATGCCGGGCGGGGGAGCTGCGCCCCACTTCCCGGGGCTGGCCACAACAGCCTCGCTCCTCATGCCCGCCTGCATGGGCGCGGGGTCCGGCGCGTGGGCTTTGCATCAGCGAGGCAAATGTA